ACAGAATAAAAATGAGAAATAAATTATGCAAAGATATAAGGAATACTTATAATAAATTTCTGGATTTGTTCTCCACATATGGCGGGTTGTTTGTTTCCTGGTATTTTGTAGATGTGTTCCTCCTCTATTCTCTACCTTTTTTGAGCTTGGAAGCATCTATATTGGTTGTGAAGCTACCAAATTCACAAGTTCACAAACAATCAAACCTAGACAGTGTTATGTAGACATTTGTCCAACAAACAAAAGAATGAAAACGAATAAAAAAATAATATGGGTACAAACATTTTTTCCAAAAACATCGAACCAAAAGAATCATAGGTATATGTGAAAATTGCAGAAAAACAGACTCCCTTAGAAATATATAAATGAAATCAATCAAGTAAGAAAGAAAGAGAAACCACATTTCATATATATTAAACGCCCATTTAAAGACAAATCATGCTTATGCCAAATAAATGAAGAAAATAGAACAAGAAAGTTAATAAAAAGTCCACTATGTACAATAATGATATTATGTATGTATAGGTAATGCGGTCAAATACTTAAATTTATTTACATTATTCTAGGATACAATATGCAAAATATATAGGGATATCTTATCACAGCTGCAATAAGTGGGTTAGTAAGTACAACTTAGTATGATAGACATTTCATGCGTTATTAAATTTTTATTTTCGTATAACTATGAGAAAAACAATAAGCAATAATATTATTATCGATGGGGGACGTGGGTGTTGATAAGGTAATATTTTAAGTCATGATCTGAGTTGTCAGAAAATACTGAATGCAATGATATATTTGTCGTTTCCTTGTGCGAATCGTTATCAGTTATTTCTATGATAACGAAAAGTAAATAGTACTAAAGTGTTGCTTTATAGTAATACAGTTATTGGTTAAATATAACAAAGTGTAGAGTTTTCGTGCTAATGTAAGTAGAAATTTTGTTTAGCTATGTAAATGTTCTTTTATTAGAATAAGTTTAACAATTTATGTGTAAATCATGTATTATTTATGATAAAGCTTATCAATGAAGAAAATCTTCAGACGTTAACAATAATATTTAACAAAATATATACCACTGGAATCTTCCCAGGAGACTGGCTTAGATCGACATTTATACCTATACCCAAGAAAAATAAAGCAAGTAGATGCTCACAGTTCAGATTAATTAGCCTGATAATCCATTTTCTGAAAATTTTACTCAAAATTGTACATCAACGAATATACCTACAGAGAATGCGAAAGAAACCTGAGCGACAATCAATTTGGATTTCGTATGGGGCTTGGTACAAGGAAGACATTATTTGACGGTGTTTTCTTTGTTTTATCGACTACGAAAAAGCGTTTGATCGAATAAAACACACAAAACTCATAGAAACCCTAACACAACATGGTATTCGCTGTGAGTTTCGCCGGTAGCGCTCTCTCGCGGTTTGAAACTTGTACTTTTCTTGTAAAATCGCTATAAGTTAAATATGACAAAACGAGAAAAATAGATATTTATCTAAAAATACAAAACTATGAACTCAAATATTATTGTAAACTGATTACTGAACGAATACACAGAATTAATAGTAAAAGTAATTACGCCTTTTTATTTTATTCATTTTAACTATAATATTTAAGATGTAAGTTCCTGCGACTGGATGACTACTTACGCAAGATTCTATTGACAAAAAGAAGAAGTTTATGTGAAAATATTTAATGGATAAAGGTTACCTTTACCCATCAAGCAAAAAGTACCACAGAATAATAAACAATCAGAATGCCCACTCTCAGATGCCGCCTTTGAAGTTTTTCAGCACGCGCGCCATGTTTTAGAAGGAAACACATAACACAGACATATGATTTGTGAGGTTATATAATTGTTTATATTTATGTTTAATTATATTATATTTATGTTATTATATTTAACAATGTCAATATAATTGTATAGTATGTCTATGATTGCCAAGTCAATTAAACCGGGTTAATTTTTCTATGCACACCACATAAACAACACTGGTTCCCTTTAAAGCATGGCGGAACGTCTAGGTGTACGAGATGCGCGTACTTAATTTTCCATGGAGAGTGGGCATTCTGATTGTTTATTATTTAGTGCCTTTACTGCCTTTACCTCTGTAACATTGTAATTCTTGTTTTCATTTTGCATTTTCATTCTGTTTTTGCTCAGTTATTTTTTGTGTGCGTAGGCCTTAGTGCTTAGATATCAATTTTTATTAATTTTATCAAAATGGATATTAAACATTATACTGGTTTTAAGTCTATATCACATGATATCCTATTTCAACCAGCTACACCAAAAAAAGAATCCATTTTTCCCTTTAAAATGAATAAAATTTACAATCACTGTTATACCCAGTATTTTTACATGTATCATATCTTTTTCTTTTTGAAAAATCCATATTCGCCATTATTTGAATGTTTACAAGTTAAATGCACAAAACTGCCACTAACAGCGTTGGTGAAAACTGTCAAATCCCCTCTGCTCATCGGCTTACAGCGAATAGACCATAACACTGTAGCACTTATTAAAAAACTATATTGGGATCAAATGGCGTCGATCAAAATAGACAATCGTCTGACAGCAGAATTGCCAATAAAAAGGGGAGTTCGTCAGGGCTGTGTACTTTCTCCACTGTTATTTAATATATATTTGAAAAGATGTTTCAAATTGCCGTCAAAAATATTGAAGAAGGAATAAAAATCAACTGAGAATACGTAAACATCTTAAGATACGCAGACGACACCGTCATTATTGCGGACAGTGCTGAGGGTTTACAACGACTTTTGAATGTCATAACCAGAGAGGGAGATAGCTTGGAACTAAATATAAACACAAATAAAACAAAAGTAATCGCTGTTACATGTGCACCAAATGTCGACATTAATATTCGTATTTATAACAAACATATAGAACCAGTACAAAGATTCCAGTATCTTGGTTGCTAGATAACAAACGATCTTGACCACGAGGTAGAAATACGTGCTCGTATAGAATATGCTAGGTCCGCATTTTAACGAATGAAAAAATTCCTAATAAACTCTACGTTATCGTTGGATATCCGATACCAATTGGTAAAAACGTTTATTTATTCCATATTGCTATACGGAGTGGAAACATGGACTCTCGGAAATACAAGTATGAGGCGTATAGAAACCTTCGAAATGTGGGTTTTTCGAAGGATGCTGAAGATCTCTTGGACAGAGCATGTGACCAACAAAGAGGTGCTAAGAAGAATGGGTATGAGAGAGAACTCTTAAATATTGTAAAAAAGAGAAAAACGAGTTATCTAGGACATATTTACAGAGGAGAAAAATACAACTTCCTACGACTTATAATGGAAGGGAAAGTGGAAGAAAGAAGAATTCCAGGAAGAAGAAAATGCTCCTGGTTGAAGAGTGTAAGAGACTGGACAGTTATGGACACACATTCAATACTAAGAACAGCTCAAGATAGATTGCAATTTGCTGTAGTTATAGCCAACCTTCATTAATGGAGAAGGTACCTTAAGAAGAAGAAGATTATTTATGCAACGTTTGGTTTTAAGTTAGCACTCCTTGGTGGTCCTTTTCACAAAGTGTCTCGAGTGTTCTGTATACGAATGTGTTTTAACCTATGCAAAACCTCAAGATATAAAATATACAGTAATTGAACAATCCGAAAATAATATTACCATATTACCCTAATATTTAATATGTATTGTAATATTATTTGTCAAAATGGTTTGGATGACAACAAAACAGAATTTTTTTCCAATGTGGAAATGAAACTACACTGGACACTTTCAATTTCGATGACTTTACGAATTATTCTCGATTTTAAGGAGCGTATGAAGCGATGGTTTTAGATTTTTCGAAATCTATTTTGTGGCCTGTCTGAATATGATGGGCTAGGGCTGAAGTAGTATCGGATTGTTTTACAGATATAGAATGTTTATAAATACGGTTACGGATTCATCGGTTTGTCTGCCCTATGTATGAACGTGGGCAACTGGAATAAGGTATCTCGTAGACACCATGGTCTTCATTGGGGATTTATATTGAGAATATACATATATAATATGCAAAAACTAGTAAACCGATACTAACAAAACTTTAGCAAACGTTTCAGTTGTATTATGTGGTATTTTCTGGCGAAATATAAAGACTGTAAGTGATATCTAAGGTATTAAAAAACTTAAAGTAAAAACTCCATGTTTGGATTCTTTTTCCAATTATTGCTATTTTTCTAAAAGTAAACATTAAATTTTTAATTTGTAGCTAGTCATATATTATGTAAAATTGAAAAACAAAGTTTTACCTAGTAAAAGTATTTTTTGTACGAGCAATACTTATTGAGTGATAGGCGAAAATGTGGGCGCAAAAAGCAAAAATTCTCGATTTTTTTTCAGATTTTGTTAAATAAAAAATTAATCACAAGGTTTTGCGATTGGCACATATCGTGATTTTTTCTACAAGGTACATCCTGAAGTAATTTCAGCAAAAAAATAGACTCCTATGGAAAATGTGCAATTCAAAAGAGGTGTCGCCTCGGCTATTCTAGTTGCTTATCGTTGCATTCAATAAAAGACAAAAAATTTTACACGTTTCCATTATTTTGCCTAACACACTCTGAAGATCGTGAATATTTTCTGCAATGAGTGATATATTATCTCATTATCTGTTTGTCGGCTACTGCAAATGGAAAAATCCATTACCTGTATTCCAGTTGTTTCATTATCAAGGACTTTCTTAATTATTTCTTCCAAATATACGTTGACGAAAATTGGCTGCCACTATTATTTTATTAAAAATTATATTCTTTTTAAAAATGTGTAAATTTTTAAACGATGTAAAACATACAATCAAATAAGGTTGTGGTGTAAATCAGATATATAAATCAAATAAGGTAAATCAGATCTTAAAGGAATGTATAAAATGAATAAAATAAAATTCTACTCGTTTGTCATATAACCCAACACCAGAAACATTCTCAAATTATATTTATATTGTTTCAGGGAAAGGTGGTAATCCGACCCATCGCCTTTAAACCATCAACTATGACGATGACCGGTTCGTCAAGGTTTGGAATGGCAGGAGAACGATACGGATCCACACCGATACTCACCAGGCCTGGATCCAGGCTCACGCTTTACGGAAGTAAGTACATATAAAGCTATACTGTATCGTATATAGGTGATTGAAACAATTTATATTGGTAATTGAATTTTCCAAGAAACTAATACCACATAAAGAGGAGTAATGAAACCTTAATTTACGTTTCAATTTTTAAATCGAAATTTTTGTTCAAAGTCCAATGATCTTTCTTAATTTTTTTTCTAAACCTTATAATTTTCTTTATGTGTTAAAGCGGAATATGGAAGTCAACGAAAAATAGCTTATGTTGACCTTCATTATAATTTTTATGGAATTTTTTGCTCTACTGTCCACTTTGTAGATATGTGAAGTTTTTCACTCTTCAACATCGTCCTTTATCCTAATTTTATTTTTGTTTCCTCCCGTTTTTGTCTGGTAGTGTTTTTATTGTGTACCTATGTTTATTATTTCAAGTCTAATCTCTTTGGTCACTATTTTCATTTGTGAATATATTTCCGTCATCAGTGTTGGCAATTAAGTTGTAGCGATATATTTATTATAAGATTATTTCTTTCGACGTTTAGCTATCTTATAGCATATTGAAATGACATATTGAACAATATTAGAGACAGTCCATTGCTATAGTGTATCATAGACCTCGAACTATTGAAAGCTTTTAGCAAGCGCATTCTGTATGTGGATCATTTCTGTCATTAAAGTCCATCCATGTCCTCCGACAAGATTATTTTCAGCGAGGTGCATCTGCATCTGGATCTACACATACTATTAACCAATATAAAATATAGAACTATACATGTATAGCATATACATTGATAACAGAGTTGCGATAGTATTGTATGTCGGACCTTAGCAAGACATACAATTTGTAAACCTTGATGCTAAACGATCTTTCCGACACGAATTGCTTACAACATATCCGTGGTTAACTTACTTAGCTCTAACAAAAAGACGGCTGTGTGGGATATATGTTTTATTTCAGCTACCAATGCAGCGCAGTTTAGTTTCTGCTTGCCTCAAATATCAAAAGCTTCATAAAGCTGTTCAGCCTTACGCGGCAAGTAAATGGCATTGTGACGCACTGACTTCGTGAAATGCATTTGAAAAAATCTTAGATAGAAATGGACTTAGCGTTTATGAATCTTTAAATGCGGGATATCACATTGAAGTTGAAGAAAATCGTCTACAACTTCGATATATTATTTCAATATATTTATTTTGCGGGAATATGATTTTTTACTTCGTGGAAAAATTTTCAAGGGTCCTGTTTTTACAGGACTGCTACATTTTCAAGTTAACTCGGAAGACGGGATTCTGAAAAATTATTTTGTCCTTACGAGCAAAATAATTGAACAGGTAAAACATGTTTCGTCTTTTTCGATTTTATCTAATGAGATTGGTGATATTATTGGCACAGAACAATTATCGATTGGTGTTCGACATCGACGTTATGTTAAACATGCTAAAAAATCTATAGTTTGTGAATAATTCCTTGGATCTGTACCGGTACAAGGACTTAATGTACAAGCCGTTTCTGAAACTATTATTCACTTTCTGTGAACGATCATTCTCTAGTTTGACAACTAGTTGGCAAACTCCCGTACTCAAGTGCTGATGTAAAAATTCTACTTCGAGTAGGTACATATGGTTTCCGGTTAATTATCTAATTGCATCGGCATTTTGTCATATAATTTAATACTTTTAAGTATGTTATTTTTAATTAAAACCCAACTACTGTTTGGTTTTGCGGTTAGTTAAACAAATACTTCTCAGCATTCGTCTCCAGCTGGAGCCTGGAGACGAATGCTGAGAATACCATGGGTGGCCCGAAGAACAAATGAATCCATACTGGACCAGCTAAACATAAAGAAAAGACTAAGAACACAAATATCAGAACAAATAATAAGCTATTTTGGACATGTGCTTCGAAGAAATGGTTTTGAAAAACTTACCATCCAGGGAAAAGTAGAAGGCAAAAGAAATAGAGGTAGATCTCCCACACGATACACGGACCATATTATTGCTACCATTGGCGCTCCATTGTCAGAATGTGCTAGAATGGCAGAAGATAGAAAACGTGGAGGAACATTGGGAAATTTAGCTAATAGCTTCATGATATCACGATACCTGCATCAGGTTAACGACTAAGAAGATGAAGAACACAAGTACTTAAAAAATTTTACTAAAGATGAACACTTTATTATAATCCATTTGGATTTTTTAATTTAATTTTTCAATTAAATATTATACCACTTACAACCCAAGTTTTTACTTCGATGTTCGAGTTTTTTGGTACTGAATTTACTGACAAGATAATGAACAAATTTGGACAGCAAATTGACTTTGTCGATTTCTCATGAAAATGATCTGTTGAATGAAAAAACTGTTCTCATGAAAATGTCTATGTCACTCGCATGGTATTCACGAATCTAACGGCATGTCATTTGCTAAAGTCAGTCAAGACTTTTGGAACGTAGCGCATACTATTAAAATGTTTAATCCGACCTCCATATACGAGTACATCATCATTATCAACCTTGGTTGTCTGATAATCTGGCGACGTGTTCTGTCCAATTCCATTTTAGTGACGCAATTTTTTTCGATGGCGTCTGTTGTTTTTGTTTTACAAAGTATTTCTTCGTTTGGAATTTGGTCTCCCAAAGAGACACCCAACATCTGGCGCGCCATAACTCGCTGAGTCAGGCGAATTTTATTTCACTACCTTATATGTGAGTGTTAATGTTTCCATTCCATAAGTGAGTACAGGTAACACACATAGGTCAAAGATTTTCTTTTGAAGCATATGGTTAGATTCGATTAAATACATAGCTTGTCACACATGTCTGTTTATATCTGCCCAACCGAATTTCATGTTCTAAGTACTTATACGATGCAGTCTGCACAATATCCCTTCCATCAACAGCAATATTTCGATTTAGCATCATATTTGTCATTATTTGCGTCTTGTTCTTATTAATCTTTCGTCCGACCTCCAAGGAAGCGTGATATTCTTTTTTAAACATTATTATTGTATCATCCATACGATCGGCTGCATGGATGATGGCATCTACAAATCTCAAATGACTGAACTTCTGTCCATTTATGTTGATATCATACTCGTTCAGATATGCCTTCTTAGAAGTATGTTCTAAAAGAGTCGTGAATAGCTTAGGAGAGACGGTGTCTCCTTGCGTACTCCTCGCTGTATACAGAATTTATTTGTTTCTTGTTCAGATAGTCTTACTCTAGCTGTGGCATTTTGGTAGATATATTTGATTATGTTAGTATAGCGATGGTCTATTCGGCATTCTGTCAATGCTTTTAACATTCTCTGATGGCTTATGGTATCGAATGCTTTATCGTAGTCGACAAATATTATATATCAATATAAGGTTTAATGTTCGAATAATTAAACTTTGATGGAATCTAAGGCAACTATCGAACACAGTAATTAATTAAATCTTGCCCAAGTACTTTCGATCAATAGATCATCTTCAGGGGCATCTGAAGGGGCACCAAGAGATGAAACATTACCTTTAGTACACAACCTTTTAGACAATTGCAACATATCTGCAAAGGATAAAGATGCTATATTAACTATGCTTAAATTCTGTCTGGATCAGGACTTCTTCCAATTCAATCAAAAAATATATAAACAACCAACAGGTTTAGCAATGGGATTTCCATTATCACCTTTTCTAGCTGATATTTTCTTAGACAGCTTAGAACAGAAGTTTGTTAATAATAACAACAAAATAGTTTTTTGGTCAAGATATGTGGATGATTGTATAGCTCTCATACAGGGAACCCAAGATGATGCTTTACAGATTCTGGATGATCTCAATAACCTCCATCCTAACATCTCTTTTACTCTGAACCAGAATCTGACAATAAGTTGAACTTCTTGGATATGACTATTTCCCGTAATAAAGATTCTTTAGAGTACAACATTTATAGAAAACCCACCCAAACAGATCACGTTATACATGGAACGTCTAATCACCCAACTCAACATAAAATGGCTGCTTTCAACAGTTACATTCATCGGTTTCTTAAATTTCCTCTTTCTGATGATAATTTTAATACAGAACTTAATACTCTTAAGCAGATTGCTTTCAATAATGGCTATGATCCTAACATTATATACAAACTTCTAAATAGAGCTAAACTAAAAATTGCAGAAAAGCTTGCATATTCATCACAGTTTTTTCAACCTAATGCTTCAGATAACATCAGATATTTCTCCTTCACTTATATTAGTAGCATTTCCAATAAAATATCTAAACTTTTTACTTCTACAATTGATAACATCAAAATTTCCTTTAAATCACATAACACTTTAGGTTCCTTCTTAATCAATACCAAAGATAGGATGAATACACTTGATAAAAGTGGTATTTACAAATTAAAATGTGATGATTGTGATGCCTCTTATGTAGGTAGAACCATCAGAAAGTTATCCACTAGAGTCTCTGAACATTTGAAAAGACCAAATTCTTCAAGTTTTGGTCAACACTTAGTATCCAGCAACCACAATTTTAACATCAATTCTGGTTCATCTATCTTACATGACATTAGTAGAAAGAAAAACTATCTTGAGTTGGATTTATTGGAAGATTTGGAGATTACAAGGGAAACAAATGAAAACTCTCACTGTCTTAATACTCAAATTAATTTAAATTGTACTAAATTTAATCCTATATTTAAAAACTTTATTACAGCTTCACCTCGTAGAGGACCCAGCTCGACTGTTTAGACTTCATGCACTGAGCATTTCAATATTAATTTTAAAGTTCTTCCATTGACTGTGGATTCAACTGAACTACTTGGATTATAACCCATTTATATATTTTGCTTTCAATTTTGATTTTAACTTTTAGTAATTTAACTACATATTCAGATTTTTCCTTTTTTACAGTACTGATAGCGCTTGGTGGACCATTTTATTGTAGTCAACCATCCACTGTCTAATATATTGTTTAGTCTTTTCTTACATTCATACTTTATGTCAACTTCAATTGCTCTCAAACTAACATCCTAATTAT